CAATGAAGAGCCAGTCCAGTTGGAGTGACAAGAAGAACAAACAGGTTTTTTGAACCAGACGTTTTCTTGAATTGCTGAACATCAAAGTTGAGACAACTCTGCATTCTTACAAGGTCCAAGGACCATTTTCCTTTAAAGGCAGCCCTTCCTTTTCCTTGATAAGCTCTAGAAAACCAGGTTGTATGCTGTCTCCACTGTGGATCTAACACCACGTCAGGAGCCCTTGGGGCAGATGTGTGTGTGATGGCTCATTCCCAGACGGCTCTAAATCTGCTCCCGCTGAAAGTTGGTTGAGTGGTTGAACCTTCCAACTCTTCCCTCAGACAGGAGTGTCCAGGGGATTCGGGGTAAAGAAATTCCCACACGCCTGGCTTGTGCCCTCCTTCCCCACAGCCCCCAGGACAGGTCTGACATGCCCTTCAGCAGTGTGGGTGGGGAAGGGCCAGCCAGCCATGTGTGCCCAGAGGTGAGCTACTTGTAATGGGATTGAGTTTTCGAGGGGTGAGGTAGGTGACAGCTACAGGTAGCCAAAGGTGAGACTTCTGAGGGACGGGGACATCTTGTGACTCAAACGTCCTACTGGCCTCACAGCCGCATGCCTCCAGGCAGTCTGGATGGCGGGGGAGACCTGAGCTCACACTCCACCAAATGAAGAATGAACTGGATGTGCCCAGGACATCTTTTATTGGACAGTAAAAAAGCAGGAGCATGGGGCTAGGTGAACAATGCCTCAGTCCCTTGCCCCCACCAGGCTATCCCCACTAGCCACTGCTGTTGAAATGACACTTAACTGGGAGACAGCTAGAGTCCAGGTAGACTGGGAGGTTGAACACAATGGAGAGACTCCACCATGTGTTAAGGGTTTCTGCTTTTTTTTTTTTTTTAATTCTTTCTTTCCTTAAAAAAGAAAAAAAAAGTAGCTCGCAGACAACAGAGGAAGGAGCAACATAAAAGTTTATATGGAAAAAAACCCTCACCTTTCAGATCTCGTGCTCATAAAACCAGATCCAGTTTGAGGGGCTGACAGTGCCCTGGTGTTTTTCACAGCTGCCCTTCACGGATTTTCATGATACTTTATAGCTCTGGGGCTTTCTGAGACTCTGCTGGGGGCAAACCCTACATCCTGCAGGCCTTCCTATCTGTGCTCATTCAGCCTCCCGAAAATCAAATTGTTTGGTTTTGCTTTTTGTAGCAACTCTAGCTCATCATTGCGCCATTAAACTTTTAAGGGAATTATAACCTCTCAGTTTGCTTGCCAAAGTGATTTGTCTTCAAGTTGTTCCCGGAAAAGTCAAGAGACGGTCTCTAGACGAGTAAGTAAGTTTAGGAAATGCTACACAGACTTTTCTGGGAGGTTCACAATGCACACCTGCGTATTACCAGCAGTGAGAAGGCCTGCAGTTACCAGCTCTTCTCAAACCCACCTGACATCTACACTCACACAAGACATCCTGCAAACACAGCGGTGCAGAAACATTCCTTGAGAAACACCATCCTAAATCCTGCTCGCTCACCCAACTAAGCCACGTATTGCCCACCCAGGGGTGTGCTTTGGGGGCTTTGTGAACCCCAGTGCAAGACCCAATATTTATTCCTGGAATGCGTTATCTTGTTACGCTCAGCCCCACCCACCCAGCCTGTCAAGGTCTTTTTGGAACTGGATTCTTAGAACCATATTTGTCTTGGACTCACGACTCCCTAGCTAATGTTTCCACAAGCACACACACGTCTGCAGGAAAAGAGTAGCCCATAGGTGAAGCAGTTTCAGCTCTTCAACCCACCGGCTAGTTGAGTCCTGCATGTACTGCCCCTCTTGGGAGGCATGCTTGGGCAAGATCCTTCCGGAGTATCAGGGATGAATTTTATGTGGTTTCCAAGGAGATGCATTCATTTGAAGTTGTTTTTCCACCGAACAGCCCCAAAGTGAAAAGCGGTTGCGGGGAAGCTGAATTATGACCTAATGCCAGTAGCAGCTGCTGGTAACTACAGGGAAGGGGTGGGAGAGCTGATGGCTGGGAGTTGGGGGCTCATTAACACCCACTTCTTAAATTAGCAAATCCTTCTAGTACAAGTTTAAAAATAGGAACCTAATGGTTTCTAAAATTAGCAGTCATGGCTCTCCATAAATATTTAGACCTCCAATAAACTTCTGGTCCACTTCCCTAGACTAATGGGGTCAAGGAGGCTTAGCTTTTATGCCACATTCTTGAGGATCAGTGCACTTAATGACTGACCTTGACAAACAAAAGCTTTGAGAAGCCTCAGAATGCCCTGGACCAGGGACAGCCTACGTGGCCATCAGCCTGGGGACAGCGTCGAGGCAGGACTGGAAGCAGCCCAAAGGTCATCTGGAAAAGTCTGCAGCCTCTGGGCTACCTAGAGGAACCAACTGTCCAGGTTGGCCTGGGACTATCCCGATTTCACACTGAAAGCCTCCCAGTCTCCAGCAAACCGGAACGGTTGGTCACCTTGGCCACCTGGCCCACTGCCAAAGGACTGAGACCAATGTTCTGGGACGTCTTTGGGAAGAAGAGTCAACTCTCCAGAAGGCACTGATGACACCCTCCCCCCACCCCCTGCGGTCTTCACACCAGTGTCACTCCTATTTACTTGAGAAGGGTAGTGGTTGAAGGAGGAATTAAACCACAGAAAAGACCAGCCCGGCCAGGCATGGAACTTCATCCCCTGCACCCAGTTTCCCCATGGGTAAAACAGGATGAACAGTTGCCGCATCCCTGGGTTACTAGGGGGAATAAACTGGGCCGCGTTATGTCCGAGAAGCGCCCAGCACCGCTTATGCCTAGAAATTGGTGCTCTGGGTGTCAGCTCGGCTAGGGCGCTCAGCGCATCGGAGGGTCGCTGAAGCAGCCCTGGCCCACACATCAAAGCGACCCCTGGGTGGGCCCCATCTCTTCCCTGGCAGTGACTGCAGGACAGCCGGCCCTGCTCTGGGCAACAGGGACTGCCAGGGTCCCCCCACCCTGAGCCCAGCACCTGCATAGAATGCGCACTTGCTGAGTGGAGGGAAAAATCCTTCGTGGGGAGACAAGGTGCAGGTGACCAGTCAGTGTGAGGTGTGTGTGAAAAACACTGTGTCCTGAACAAATCATCCTTTAAAATGCCTGTGCAAACCCTAATATTGTCCCCACTGCCAGAGGACTGCATGTCCTGTTTGGCACCACAGTGTTTTGCTGTCCCCTAGTTTTGCTTGTTAACCCACACAGAGCTAGGAATCGTTAACCAGCACAGAGCTAGGAATTAGCTACAAGGCTAAGACATCTCAGCCCAGTACGTAGTTTTAAATCCAGCAAGATGACGGTACAGGCCCGCGGTGGAAACGTCACGTGTTTGTTACTAACCAAATCCTGTACTGTAATTGAGTAGCGGATTTCTCCACCAGGGACCCCGGGTTCAAGACCGTTGCAGTGAGCGTCTGCATGGCCTGGGTGGGAGAGGCCCTGCCAGCCCACAGTTTGCTCCCTGCAGCCTTCCCATGCTTAACTGAGATGAAGGAAGGGGTGGGTTTTGCCTACTGGGTTCCTCCTTGGTTCAGGATGCTGAAGTGACTTGTCATCAGCAGAGAAGCGTCCCTTTTCTCCCTTCAGGACCAGGAGACGCTTTGGGGCCATGGAGTCTAGCTCCCTCGTGTTAGAGAAGGAAGCTGAGCCCAGAGAGACACCCCGAGAGTCACCCAGCCGGTGGGGGTGGCAACATGGATTGGTACCCTGCCCCAGGCAAGAAAGAGGAGCCTGTGGGGCTCACTGGGGTATTTCTACTCACCTGCCCACCTTCCTTCCTCCCTTACTCTTTCCTTGCATCCTTTTCCTTGCTTCTCTCCCTCCTCCCTTCTAATATTTCCTGAGTGTCCCCTATTTGTCTGTCACTACAGAGGTGCTGGGTCCTTGCCCCCCAGAAGTGTGCCGGATTTTGCCATGGTTAGAATTTTTTAAACCTCTGAAATGGCTCCGCATTCCTGTCTCTCTGGAAGGCAGGTAGCAGTACCTGGTTCACAACAAGCCCACCCCTCTGCAGAGAAGTGTGAGGGGAGGTAGCCTGCCCGGAGGGGGTGGTTGCTGATTTGTGGTCTGAGCCCCAGCACCTCAGGCGCTGGTGACCTTGGCCGTTTCTGGCCCCTGGCATCCGTGGGCAATCTCTAAGTTCACATCCAGCTCCAGGACTCTGGAAGAAAGCATGAGACCTGCTTGTGGCTGCTAAATCTCTCCCTTCCTGAGAGCACCGGGAAGTCTCCCACTTTCTGAAGTCATTTCATCCTGACGGGCAATCCGAGGCTAATTTCTAAGTCAGAGGAGCACATACCTTAACTCTTGTCAGTCCATGCGTTGGTTTAACAACTGAAGTGATTACTGACCAAACGGTACGCAATGAGATTCAAATGCAGCAGAAGTGTTTCAGGGTTGACATAAGGTAGAACTTCCCACACTTGCTTGCTCAGTGCTGACAGATCAGAAGTGGGGGCCGTGGACTGCCCTTCCCTGGGGTCCTTGGGAAGCCCTGGCCAGCCAGATTTCTGCCGTCATCCCTTCCCCTCTGGCCTTCCGGGGAAACTTAGGCAGCTTACTCTCTCACCCAATGAAGCGGCAGAAACTATTTATAAAAATATGCTAATTGTCGGGGCGCCTGGGTGGCTCAGTCGGTTAAGCGACTGCCTTCGGCTCAGGTCATGATCCTGGAGTCCCTGGATCGAGTCCCGCATCGGGCTCCCCGCTCAGCAAGGAGCCTGCTTCTTCCCTCTAACCCTCCCCCCGTCATGTACTCTCTCTCTCTCTCTCATTCTCGCTCTCTCAAATAAATAAATCTTTAAAAAAAATATATGCTAATTGTCATACCAACTGCCTATGGAAAACTCAGTTTTGGCAGCAGAAAGAAATGCATCAAGATCATCTTTAACCCATTTCCCCTCTCTCCCCCCGCCCCGCCTCCCGGCTTCATTAGGACTCCGGCGGGCGCCTGAGCGAGCCCGGCAGCCGGCCACCGGGGCCATGGCCAGCACGGCCGTGCAGCTGCTGGGCTTCCTGCTCAGCTTCCTGGGCCTGGTGGGCACGCTGATCACCACCGTCCTGCCGCACTGGCGCCGCACGGCGCACGTGGGCACCAACATCCTGACGGCCGTGTCCTACCTGAAGGGGCTGTGGATGGAGTGCGTGTGGCACAGCACGGGCATCTACCAGTGCCAGGTCTACCGCTCGCTGCTGGCGCTGCCGCGGGACCTGCAGGCGGCCCGCGCGCTCATGGTCGTCTCGTGCCTGCTGTCGGGCGTGGCCTGCGCCTGCGCCGTGGCGGGCATGCAGTGCACGCGCTGCGCCAAGGGCTCGCCCGCCAAGCGCGCGCTCGCCGCGCTGGGCGGCGCGCTCTTCCTCCTGGCCGGCCTGCTGTGCCTGGTGGCCGTCTCCTGGACCACCAACGACGTGGTGCAGAACTTCTACAACCCGCTGCTGCCCAGCAGCATGAAGTTCGAGATCGGGCAGGCCCTGTACCTCGGCTTCATCTCCTCGTCGCTGTCGCTCATCGGCGGCACGCTGCTCTGCCTCTCCTGCCAGGACGACGGGCCCGCCAGGCCCGACCAGGCCCAGCCCGGGGCCACCACGGCCGCCGCCGCACCCGCCTACCGGCCCCCCGCCGCCTTCAAGGACAACCGGGCCCCCTCGGCCACCTCGGCCTCGCTCAGCGGGTACAGACTGAACGACTACGTGTGAGTGCCCCCGACCTGCCCCTCCCCCGAGCGCACAGACGCAGCAGGACCCAGGCTCGCCCCGATGCCGGCTCCCGGCACAAAGTTGACTCCTGGGCTACGTATTTGTGTCCAGAGAATAATATGAACACGAGGGAGTGGGCTTAGAACACAGGGAAGGAGGGAGAAATAAGAGAAGGGGAGAGAAGCTCTATATACCAAAGACTTCATCCTTTCTGGTTCTTTATTTATTATGTGTACTTATGTGGGTGATTTAATAACAGCTGAATGAAAAGCAACTTGGGAGTTTGGTCTGTGCGGTTTGTTTGCAATACAGGAATAAAACTTTTGGATGTGGTTGTTAATGAAATGGACAGTATCCGTTTCCGTTTCCAGTCTATTCTGTCGGCTGAGGTCTCGGAACCACAGCACGCTGTCAGGGCCCCACGTTGCAAAGCAATGGGGACACCCCGGGAGTGGCCCCAACCCACACATGATGGGAAAATCAGAGGAGGGCCGGGCTGATATTCATCTAAAAGCTGCTTGAGCAACACAACCAAAAAGTCACTCCATGGCGCCTGGGTGGCTCAGTTGGTTGGGCGACTGCCTTCGGCTCAGGTCATGATCCTGGAGTCCCGGGATCGAGTCCCGCGTCGGGCTCCCTGCTCGGCGGGGAGTCTGCTTCTCCCTCTGACCCTCCCCCCTCTCATGTGCTCTCTCTCTCCTCATTCTCTCTCTTAAATAAATAAATAAAATCTTAAAAAAAAAAAAAGTCACTCCAGCTTAAGCCCAGAGGCAGGGCAGGAAGTACAGGCCTTCCTAGGGGGAAGGATGGTTGCCGTAAACCCCACAGTAAAGATGATGTTGTTTTCTACTGGTAGCTCCCAGTAGTAAGGAAGCACAAGTCAGCATTCAAAAGACAAAGCAAAAGGCGCCTGGTTGCTTGGCTCTCTGGGCATTGGCAAGAAGCCCAGTTAGGAGCACTGCTCGTGCCCCAGGGCCCCGCAGGACACCTCTGGCTTCTCTTGGGGCGACGGAAGCAGGAAGGCAGCTTCCATCAGGGCGGGTACAGAGTGTGTTGACTTCTCCTTTAGCTGGAAAGAACTGCTGAGAGGACCAGATGAGCTCTCAGTGCTCTAAGAACATTGATGATGCTTTCTGGTTGTGATCTAAACCACATGGTCAGAGAGCTGTGACACACACACACACACACACACACACACACTGCTCTCCCATTAGCCTGGGGACCGTGGTCCTCTTCTCTGTCCATTTCACAGCCTTGCCCATCACGTGCCTTGTGGTGCCCTGCTTATGCCTCTGTTCCGAACCTCGAGTTCTGAACGTGTAAAGAACATACCCTGTCCTGTGGAAGGGCTGAGCCTGAGACCTAGACATAGGGCAGCAATTACACAGATCCCTCCATTCTCAAGGGGCCTTGGAGAAGGACCACCAGGGCTCCAGCAGCCACTGCCTGCAGAGAGGAGAGCCACAGCAGGTCAGCACAGACATGGAGCCAGCTGGCCAGGCTCGCTGGTGCGGCGACCAGGACCAGGGGGGTGGAATCCCAGGGAGGCTCCCGGACAAGGGTCGAAGGGCCAGGCAGGCTGCATCCTGGAGCCCCTGGACGCAACAAGGCCAGATGTGGGTTTGTACTCCACTAACTTCATGCTTCCTCCTGACAGGGTCCTCCAGGCCATTGAGACGGTGACGAGAAACCCAGCTGCCGTGGGCTTCTCCTGCAGGCAGAGGCTCTCAGCAGTAATGTGTTTCCACTGAGAGACCCTCTGGTTCCTTGAGGCCTTACCAGTCACAGCTCCTAAACTACTCTGTTGCTGAGTTCTGGCAATAGGAAAACCTTCCCGACATGAAGAAGTGGGGGTTAAAGGAGCAGCTCTACACCACTTTTTGTTGGCCTTATGACCCCAGGTAACAGGTGCCACCTCTGTTTGGAAGGAGGGGGTGCGATACATTTTAGCCTGAAAAGCTAGGAGGGCTGGAATCTGCCATCCCATCCAGGCCAGGGAGTTAGACCAGAAAGGTCATCATTCATGTCGGATGAAACAAGCGATTTTAACCTACTCTTTAAATTATAAAAATAAGTCGGGGCACCTGGGTGGCTCAGTTGGTTAAGCGACTGCCTTCAGCTCAGGTCATGATCCCAGGGTCCTGGGATCGAGCCCCGCATCAGGCTCCCTGCTCGGCGGGAAGCCTGCTTCTCCCTCTCCCACTCCCCCTGCTTGTGTTCCCTCTCTCACTGTCTCTCTCTCTGTCAAATAAATAAATAAAAATCTTTTTAAAAAAATTATAAAAATAAGTCAATCTAAACTAATAAAGAAGGGAAATAAAATCTTCTAAAAACAGAATGACATTCTGGCAGTCCTGCCTTGATGGTCATGGTCTAGAAGGTGTCTGGTGAAGTTATTCTAGGTAATAGACCTATTACAAATTAAAGAAAAAATAAAATCGCTTTTTTTCAAATTCTTTCTTGAATTCTGTCACTATTAAAATACTTAATGTCCCTATCTCTTACTCAGGGGAAAGACCAATAATAATAGTGCTTACAGTTTACTGGGCACTTACTATGTGCCAGGCATAGTTTTTGTTTACTAATTTGGTCCAGTGAGACCCATGAGAACCCAATGACATAAACACTATTCTTAACCCCATTTTACAAAGGAGGAAATTAAAGCACAAAGAGATTAGTTACTTGCCCAGGGCCACAGGGCCAGTGAGTAAAAGACCCAGGATTCAAAGCCAGACAGGTAAGCAGGGGACAAATATGTTCACTCAAATAGCGGCATGACCCACGGTCTAATTACTTTTGTGTCCAGACTATTTCCAAATAATTAAGAGATTATTCCATGCATATATGATTTTTTCCACAATCATCACTCCGTAGAGCTTCTGTTGGCTGGGCTCTGGCTGGACTGATGAAACATGATGTCAGACCCAGAGGTCCAAATTTGGATCCCCATAGAAAGCAGGAAGCAACACACACGAAGGGACACAGGGAGGGCTCCGTCCTATGGCTGGCCAGCCCAAACAGGAAGTAGGTCTGAACAGGACCTTGATTCCCTCCCTCGAGTAACAGGGTGTAAGAATACAGTTCCCAGTTTCCTCCTTCACTCCCAGGACAAGTACCTCAGGCCACACAAGCCCCCTTTTTGCCACATTACCACCAGGGCCAACAAATAGATGTTGCCTGTTTCTGTTTTTGCCCAAATCTTCAGGACTGCGCAATCTTAACCAAAGCTGCTTTGACGACAGCACGGTCTCCTTTTGGAGGTACAACACACGACCCCAAATTTCAGAAGAAAAAGGAAACATGAGTTACCGTTGTTATGGATATAAATTACAACATGACTCTCACGGGATAAGAAATGCTACATTTCTTTGCTTCTCCAAATCAAACCAAGTTTGGCTCTAATCCAGAAAGGCCTAAAGCTAGCCATGTTTTCTGGTTCCCTCCCCTGCATTTAGGATGTCTCGGGGTCCCAGCGCTAAGGAAGGCCCTGGATTTGTAGGTGTGAAGGCCGGTCTTTAGTCCTTAGGGATGGCTTGTTACCCACTGACCACCGGCGCCGATGTCTTCACAGCCCAGAGCCTCCCGATGCTCCTCCCAGGCCACTGCCCGTTCATCACCACAGTCTTGCACGTCATGTCCCCGGCCCTCCCCGGCCCTCCCGGCCCTGTGGGAACAGACACTGGAAACCTCCACCCTGTGAATCTTTTGTCCCCAGCCCAGTCTCTGGGAAGCCACTTCCTGAGATGGAGCCACGCCCCTCACACACTCTGATTGCTTTCATGGGTTTCACCTCCTGAAATCAAAGGCCTCTGACTTCCCCTAGAGAACCCTGCTTTCGTGTCAGCCACGGTCACCCTAAATGGAAACCATCTGAGAACTCTGACTCACAATCGCTTAACAACCATCTATTACATCATAGTGATAAAATGAAGACAGGGCCAAGATTTTCCCCCTCGGTGCCTGGCCCCACAGTCCCATGCTTGGCCACAATGCCACCCTGCTTCTCCCTGCCTTGGTCCCTCCTTGCTTTCTCCCTGCCAGGCAGAGGGAATGGCATGAATGGCAACAATCCGGTCAGGAGATGTGGGTGTGGACCAGGTGGCAGGATGGAAAAGGAAGAAGAGATGAGGATGTGACTGAAGGCAGAGCCAGTAGGTTTTACTGAGGGCTTGGTTCTGGGTGTGAAAAAAAAAAAAGGCTTAAAGGATGATACCAAGATTTGGGGTTGGATCAGCTGGAAGAATGGGGTTACAATTTTCTGAAATGAAGACGATTCTGGAAAGAGGTTCTGGTCTGCTAAGGTAGATTAAATCCATTTTCCAGGGGTTTGGTCTGAGCTGCCTCCAGTGGAGATGTGGAGTGGGTCCTTGGATAGATGAAGCTGGAGTTCAGGGAGAGGTCACTTTGGGAGCCATCAGCCCAGGAACGCCACGTAAGCCGGCAGCTAGAAAGGATCACGTTGGAAGCGAACCCAGATGAGGAATCAAAGAGGCCAAAGACATTCACATTTGGAGGCTGGGAGGATGAGGCAGATGGATCTAGCCAGCAGCCAGAGGGGGAATGCCCAGCGAGCAAGGAGGACTAAGAAGAGGATGTTCTCGAAGCCAAGGAGAAGGGAGTGATCAGCAGCGTTAAATGAACTCCTTGATTTTCATGGTCAGGTGGCCTGAAGGCGCTATGATGGGCTTCATTTGTAGGGGAGGCACTGGACTTAGAAAAGTAAAGGGAAAGCTGAGGGCTGCCAGGTGGAGGCAGCAAGTTACCCAGTGGAGAGCAGACACACTGAGGTTAGAACACTCTTGTTGCCAGTTCGTAAGTTTGCAATAGCCCTCAAGGAAAATCCGCAGCTCCCGCATAAGCTATAAGGCGGACCTACCATGGAATCCTCCTGAGATAATACATCAGGAGCCTTCTCACCAGGTTCTGTCCTAGGTTCCCGCGGACTCAATGCCACATTAATACTTCTGCATAGAAAGAAGAAAGGTAGCTACGTAAGATTT